GCGCTACAAGGTGGATCATGGGACTAAGGGACGAAATATATAAGGACCGATCTTACTAACGTGGTTTACAGTAGTTAACTTATAAGAAGCCATAAAACGACCTTAGAGTGGTGCATAACATTCTGAGCTTTACTAGTTGTCCCAACAAAGACGTCCTACCCAAACCAGTTAAACATGGAGGAGCACACATCTTTCACTGGTGATTGATCCAGACTAGAATTTCTCAATCTCCATTCTTTTTGTCAACCATCTTACACGTCACTTAATAAATTCTAATTCGAGACTCGGTAGGAGGCTGTAGTGCCGTGCTTCGATAATAGTTCATTTCCATAACCGTTATTACACCAATCTTAACGGTGTATAAAATCAGAAGGCAAAAGGAAGCGACAACTACATTTTTATTGATAATCGATGCAGACCAGAAAGCTGTGGGCACATGAGCAAGTGTAAGCGAGCGAAGCAAAGATGATGCATAGTGGAGATGGCTGGGAAGCCAACTCGCTATGAGCAAGCATTACTCAATATTTATAATCAGACAAAAATGAATGGCAGACATATGATGAATAGGATACGAAGGGTACACACACATGCGCTCATATAAAAAGGTAGTCAAGGTTAAGAAGCAACTAATGAACAGAATCGAAATATGACTCACAATATATAGGTGAATTGGCTTGGCCAGTAGCTGGAATAAAGGATATGGGCTTAACATATGAACTGATACTACATAGCCCCTTGCAGAAAATAGCACATTTATGAAAAAAAGTCTGTTTTCGAAAAATGACACTGAAGCGGTATGTAGATAGCGTCAAAATGTGGGAAAAAATGGTACAATACCTGATAAATTACAGTGGCATGTGAGGGGTTAGCGTATTAAACGAAAGTGTCATACTTATGTAAAAATGTACATGAATATTCTCAAAATGAGGACAGAATTGGAAATGTTAGCATGTGATTATGAGTAAATTAGTAAGCGTACAAAAAATTTAACATGCATTTATATCGTGACTGTCTGGACGATAAAATAACAGGTTAATATGCGCGAATCGAAATATCGTGAAAATAGAGTGATAAGTTGTTTTTGGGTATGACAGAAGTAAATCGAGTAAATAAGTGGGATAGAGTATGACGGAAATTGGTCTGTGGTGCCGATTGAACATGAGGATAAAGAACAGCGAAATATGTTCTGATTAGCCTCAGTAGAGTAAATAGCGTCGTTCAGCGATGAGTAGATTCGAATTTACATAACTGAAGTTTATGTGGGATAAGAAATAATCCAGCCACAGGATGATGACTGCATCAACAGGCGGTATTCATTGATGTACTGCAATTGATTATGATAATAAAATGCGAAGTCAGTGTATGTTGTCGCTTGCGTTGAGTTATCGTTAAATATGTATTAATAGAATGACCAGAGGAACAGGATAATGACTGCTGAGACGAGATATGCGGAGTCGTATTCCTTTTTAGTCATGAAGCCTAGCGTGTTTTATGTCGTTAGAGGGATATGTGCTCAACCTCGTTTGTTACGAAACCGTATTAAGGCATAATAAAAAATACCAATACATATGATTATCAATAATGGCGAGTGAGACTGACTTGAATGTGACGAACAAGAGTGTATCTTTGAGAGACCAGCTCTAAACTCTATGTTCTTGTATGCAGTGCTATGGGGATAGAAAATCAATTGCAGTAATCGAATTGTGATTATCGGTAATGGATGATGCAGCATTCAGATATACATATGAATGAATAGATAGTATGAACATAATCATTACTAATCGGCTGGTAATGCGGCGTCGAATACTTGATTTGTGTATAGACATTAAAGTAGGAATCATCGTGAAACACAAATTGCGGAAGTTCGGTTTAGGTTGTCGCTGAAAATGTAGGAAACGACGGTTGCTACGTACCGATGGTATGAATGAACATTAGTTGCATCGAGAACATAAGTTCCCACTATGAGGAGTATGACTCCAAACTCGTGTCTATGATAAAGTGTAATATTAGGCCGAAAATGACATGAAAAAGAAAAAATTGGAACGAACTCACTTAAATCAGGAATAATTTACGTCGTAAAAATAATTCAGTGAGTTTAGAATACCATAACGTGTAATGTCCATATCATTAAAATTTGTTCGATTAGTGATTTGACTGCGTATATGTCATAATTTACCGTCATTACGAACAAAAATAATAATTCCACGTTAGATGATGATATGACATTATTGTAAGAATGAGCATATGATGATTATTCGGATCATAACGGAATATGTCATCGGCCGTTCCATTTTTGTTATGTGTTCGCTCGTTGCGGTCGCCAATTATGTTGTGAGTTCGTACGCAGAGGTTGTCGATTCTGGTCTGTGTTCGTTCGGCGAGGCATCCAATTATGTTTTGGCGTTCGTAAGTCGGGATCGCCAATTGTGTTGCGTGATCCAAATACGGTTTGCCAATTATGCTGCGTGTTCGTAGGTCGGGCTAACCAGCCATGTAGTGGCGTTGAAGTTATCGATTTCGCTGCGGTTTCGTATGTCGAGATCGCCAGTTATGTATTTGCCGCTTCCTTTTGCATTCTGATTTTGTACACCGTTAAGATCGGTATAATAACGGTTATCGAAATGAACTATTATCGAGGCACGGCACTGCAAGGCGATTTCCCACAGACAAAATTCTAAACTGATCCCCTGATTGTCGAGCACAGTGTCTTAGCTTGACCAAAGTCACAACAAGTAAAATATCTGGCTGGGTAAAGTTTATCTGCTTCGAAACCGTAAATTAACATCGCAAATATATGAAAAACAATCGATTCAGTCTATTAAAAATGATTATCATTGGCTTATAAACTAGACATTGCTGTGCCAAATCAAACGGAGTTAAAGTGGAAGTGAGGGTCTAATTCTGTCATCGATGAACTCACCTGTCGATGAAGCCTTTTAGAGGAGTCTCAGTAACCACATACACACCAAAAAGATATTGGACGTATTCGATATGAAGTATGAGTTGTGCGCTACTGTGTTTTGGTTTGTTTATTGACGCGCATTTAACCCCGTGTTTACTCGTACAAACAGATGAGTACATTTGAATCATGCCTTTAGAAATGTAGGTGACAGTCTGCAAAAAACCTAGTGTCAATTGTGGCGATATTGCTTCAAGTTATCTCTTTCCACTGCTATTTATTGGAAATTATCTCCAGAAAGATAATTGCACAAAATATCCCGAAAATCGCATTTTTAATTTTGACTTAGTTGTCACCAAACATTCTAGGTTCTGCATACACTTGCATCAAATAGTCTACTTTTGCCCAAATACTCCAGACATTCCCCAACTTTCTTAAGTTGTCGATATGAATCAGGCGATTGCATAATACGTAAGGTTTGAATCACGATTCTCATAAATTATAACAGGACTAATCACGTCTGCGTTGTAGTCTTCAATTATAAGGAAACTAGGTCAGTGGACTCGAATCGTACGATTATCCTTGATTGGATTCTGAAAAAGAAACATAATTTGGCAGTTCATGATTGGTTTATTGAATATATGTGGTGGTTGGGAATGCTCACTGTATCAAACTAAGTGCTACTTCATAATAACTTTTCTTCTGCTACTTCTCATTTGTCTGATTGCGCCAGATCTAAGTAAGTGTGGATCTATATGCACAAAATTTTCAAAGCATGGGTCACCCAGCCAAACACATTTGCTTTATGATTGAGAGTCATAGCTTTCGTCAGTAGGATTCCGAAATGAAATTGCGATCAGCATCTGTGATGGGTTTTTTTAGTGCTTTTTAGGAATATGCGGTTTACTGTTGTGTGTGCGTATAACAGATCATTAATGCTCAAGACTAACTACTAAGCACGTAAATAGCCCGATGAGAAAATCTGCAAGGTCGATGTAAGATCTAGATACAATTAATTCATTATCACTAATAGAATATGTGCCGGACATTTTACGTAGAAGGAAAAAAACGACCTCAGTTGCTAAAACTGAAATGAATGGTATTTCATTTTCAAACAACTTTGGTTTGAGTATCACCTACATTTGGTTGTGTTGATTATCTGTCAACTACGTATATATTTTTCTTGTACATCCTACAAATTCGTTTTCTCAATCCACATCCATTATTTTTTGACAGGTTTAGTTATCGCTCTTCATTTGATCTTGACTCACCCTAAATTACTTTCTGTGTTTTCAGTTATCCCAGATGACTTGATTTCCATGACCAGTCTTACTCCTTCCTATCGGGTTTTTTAGAAGAGTTAAAATTAAAAGAAAACTCATCGGCAATCTGAACTCGTACGTGAACAAGTTTTTCGGGAGGTAGTTACTAGTATTAAATATTTTACGTAATTTACCAGTTGTCTTCTGTTTTATTTATTTACTCAACCAATTCTAGTACAATTTGGAACCAAAATATGGCACTCATCACATAACTAAAAGGTGCTATTGTAGATAGAGTGGAAATGAAGTGCAGTTAGAAATATAACCAGATGACGTCAGTTAGTAGAACTACCCCTTCTACAACTAATATAAAGAAAGACTACAACTGAATTGCCGTTGACTTATTTTGAGCTTTGTCGGACAGTGTCTTAAGTCGCCAAGTTTCACTATGTTCAGAACCCCAACCACTGAGTTGTGATAGACGAATAGCTATCAATCTTAGATGGCTTTATTTCACACCATGGGGCTATGTTATAAACTGGCTACCTGTCTGCTTTTTTCCACCTAGCCCCATCACCTGTAAATAATGCTCGACGCGGTTGTGACATTTGTAGTATACTTCTAAACCACCGAAGCGAGTGTTTCAAGATATTGACACAAATTGAATTACCGTCTTTTTGCCTTAACACAATGTGTTAGTTTGAATTAACAGGAAGCATTGTTTCCACTTCATAAATTAAGTGTTGCTCACAGTTTTGTATGTTCATTTACTGCTAGCCAGGAATTTTAAACTGTTCATGTTTTCTCGTAGTTTGTCGTATTCGCATTGGAAATATAACATGGTGGATGCGGAATTCAAACGAAAACTAAATGAAATCCGTGAGAAAGTAGAAGATCTTTTTGATTTTGAAGGATGTAAAGTTGGACGTGGGACATATGGAAGTGTTTATAAAGCCAAACTTAAAGATGGTACAGACGGTAGAGATTATGCATTAAAACAAATTGAAGGTACTGGTTTATCTATGTCTGCGTGCCGAGAAATAGCTGTAAGTTCAATTATAATACACTGACAAATAATTTGTATGTATCATGTTTAGCTTCTTCGTGAGTTAAAGCATCCAAATGTAATTACTCTACAACGAGTTTTTCTGAATCATACAACTAGGCGAGTATGGCTGCTATTCGACTTTGCAGAACATGATCTTTGGCATATTATAAAATTTCATAGAACAACTAAAGCAAATAAAAGTACAGTTCAAGTCTATGGCAATATGGTCAAAAGTTTAATGTATCAAATATTAAATGGAATCCATTATTTACATGACAATTGGGTTTTACATCGAGATTTGGTATGTTCTAATGATAATTTTGTCTGTTTTTTTCAAGTCTAAAGAAATGTTAGGGAGCTCAAAGATGTTTTATGAATACATTTTCTTTCCATTGTCACAGTAAAGAGTTTGGCCTCCAATCATTAAACAGTTTGTCATTTCACACTGCACTACCAATAAGAAATAGCCGTTGGTAACGAACTGTGAATGTAGAACACAGGTGATTGTCTTTGTTGTATTGCTCACCTGTTGTGAAATAACCCGGTTGTAAGAAGTGCGATTATTCGGTCGTTGAACTTGTGAACTTGAATGAGCATAAGTGGTGGTTGGGGCATGTCCAATCAAAGCTTAAAAAGGAATTGAATTTACTACTAACCTCCAACCATCATCTTATCTCAACATAGTGCACTCAGTGTCGATCCACCTAGACTAGTGGCCATATTGCAACTTGATCGACAGCATTCGATCAGCACTATTATTTATTTATTTAAACACATAAATATTGGTACAATGAAGCACCAGATAAATATGCGCCTCACAAATCTCATTCGATTTGTGTGAGGGCTGTGATACTGCCCAGGTGCCCAGACTGAAGCAGGTGGTTTTCTTAGGGGACCACACCCGGAGCCTTTGACCTGAATGTCTGATCCACAAGGCAGTGGAGCATCGTGAGGAGATGCAGTCCCATGGTAGTCGTTGACCAATGAAAGGTTCGTCCGCCATTCGTTCCATCAGGATACTGGAGCCAGCCCATGTGCACCATTAGTTTGAAATCAGGGTTTTCCAACTCCCCTAGGTGGACCCTCCGTGTCCACCAACCCGGTTAAGGCGCCGGACATTCGCTTTTCGTCCTCTCACTTTCGTAAACAACACCCGTGGTTCGAGAAGGCAGTGAGTAGGACTTCCCTGTCAGAGACTATATATTCGCTGGACATATGAGAGTATTTCGAGAGGGAGAGCAGACTCTCCCCACTCTCGGCCGTACCAGGGCATTTGGGGGCAACATTGTGATGGAGGTGGGATTCGAACCCACGCCCTTTCGGACTGGTGCCTTAAACCAGCGCCTTAGAGCACTCGGCCACTCCACCTTCGAAGTGAGTGCGAACGCACTGCCTCCAGGGAGAAGGACTTGACACGCATGACATTGATCACCATCCAGTGGTCAATCAATTGTGATTACATCTCAGTTCTACAGGAGGTCGGTCGCGGCCCAAATAGCTCAGTTGTAACGTCTCTGATTGTGAAGCCGAGTGACACGGGATCGAATCCGTCAGGGAGCACCAGTTCCCTCAAGATTACAGGTACACCTTGCTGACGAGCGCCAAGTAGCACGAAACCCGGGTCCAGGGTTTCTTGTTGACCACCTCCAACCACTATCTTATCCTTTTTTCTGCCACTCCACTAAGTAGGGCTGTCATTTATGTGTTTTAAGTCACCAAGTTAATCTTCTGTTAAGGTTATCAGTCCTTGAAACGTCTGGAGACAGAAGCGTTATCTCTAAGGTATTATATATGGCAAAGTTAAGTAAAGTAAGGAGAGCGGATAACTCTGACAGTTTATCTAAGCCATATTGGTAGATGCACCTTACTTGGTGTGAGGAGTCCGCATGATAACCACTATCAGTGGTTGGACACGTTGAGTTATATGGCACAGAGTCGTTCACAATATTGTCAATTCATTCCTTCTTTGTCTTCCTCTCAGTCTTGAATTTCAGTACTCCTTTATACTTGCCTTTCCACTCTCTTTGCGAACCATATTCCCAAGGTTTAAATTCCCTTTTTATCATTTCTACTACATTATTTCGATTTGTTCTGTTGTTTCCACTTCGTGCTGATTCTGTATGGCAACTTGGACGAACCCACATTTGAGCCACTCTGATATGTGTCTGTTTAACATTCCTACTTTCATTACTCGCTTAGTAATATATTTGTCTTTTTGATTTTTGTCTAGAAACCTGCAAACATCTTAGTTATGGGTGAAGGTCCTGATCGAGGTCGAGTTAAAATAGGTGATTTAGGTTTTGCTCGTCTATTTTATCAACCACTGAAGCCATTAGCTGATTTGGATCCAGTTGTTGTGACATTTTGGTATCGTGCACCAGAATTGCTACTAGGAGCTAGACATTATACAAAAGCTATTGATATATGGGCCATTGGATGTATTTTTGCAGAATTACTAACATATGAACCTATATTTCATTGTCGTCAAGAAGATATTAAAACAAGTACACCATATCACAAAGAACAACTGGAGCGTATTTTTCGTGTAATGGGATATCCACCAGGTATGTAAGTTGTTATTTGGCAAAACACTAGTGATCAAGTGATATGCCACAGCCTAATACGACCTCCGGAATGCAAACTTTTGATTTATCGATTCTGTGTTTTTGAACCTTTTTTGAGATGTGATTTTTCACCAAGAACTGACTTCGGTTGGACAATAACTTGAAACCAAAGTACACTAGATATTGGTTTTGTGAAGTTGTAGCTTATTGTTCAAAACACTCCCTGTTGTGCTCTATAATGTACACAACTAGGTAGTCTCATAATAGAACGAAACGGTTTCTCCATTTTTCCTAACTTTTAATGACGTCACAAATAAGACGACTCTGTGATGAATAGTGTCTATTGATTATTTGTAATTAGTAATTAGTAATCACTTTTATGTATAATCAAAGTATCTGCTTCTTTGTTATCTTTATTTCTGATCAATTCAGATGATGCTTGGGTTGATATGAAAAAAATGCCAGACTATCATCAATTATTACGTGATTCCATAAGTAAAAAAACCTATGGTAAATATTCACTGGAAGGTTATTTTGAAGAGAAAAAATTCAAAGTGGATGAAAGGGAATTAGCTTTGGTAAGTTATTGTACAATTTTATTAATTTTGGCCCTATTTGATGTGTATTATTATTTGGATTGGTGATTAAGCTACCTTGATCTCTTTTCATGCGAATCTAGCAGACAGCTGTGAAATCAACTTCCCATCGTAGATTTACTTGTTCTTTTGATGTAAAAAAAAGTGTATTTCACGGCGTATCACGTGGAAGGGAATTCAGTTATTGAACGTTGAGAACTTTCATCAACTCATTTTTCATTCGTTTAACCACAATAAGATGATATCATATTCTTTCACAGTATTTTATGACATACATAGCTTCAATTCACTCGTCATTGTGGTTCACTTTCTATTAGTGGATACTCAGGCATGTACTAAGTCTCCTTAGAGAATTTTGGACGTCTTTACATTTAGGGTTATAAATACGTTCCATACTTTATATGTGGATATAGTTTTTTATCCTACAATTGATATTTGTTCCATATTCACCACCAGAATACTAGCATTTACCAAACAGAATTCTAAGACCGATTTACTTACGGTTCCGGATTTAAGATAGGAGCTTGACATTGCTCTGTCACGTAACCCATTCATCTGTTTAATTCAGTCAGCTTCCTTCACCGTTGTACTTATCTGTAGCCACATATGTTTTCTGCCAAACACAACGATCCACAGGTGGTGTTTCACCGGTTCATTCTATACAGTTAAAATAATCACAGTCAAGACTGCTACTGTTTCTTTCGCCAAAATTTCCCTCAGTAATAAGTGACTGTAAAATAGAAACGACTTATGGAAAAAGTTGTTTTGCTGATTTTTAATGACTTAAACTTGTCACCTAAAGACGTTGTTTTAGATAAAGAAGATTGTTATCCATTGTTCAAACAATTAGTGTTCAGATTTACCAATAATTAATCATTTATAGAAGGGGTTTTGTGGAGATTTAGTATTTATCATTGTTGAAAGCGTGAGCCAATTGAAGCTAGACCACCATGGAAAACCTGGAAACACTGTGGTCTAGACTCACGCTCTCAACAATGATAAATTAATCATTTCCCTATTGTAAGCAAAGATGAATAGTGGCTAGCAGTGGAATCCAGTTTGACGCACGTTTCGTCCTATTTGAGACTAGTCAGCTGGATGTACCTGCACCTCAGAGTTGATGTTCACTCTGCGAGGGACTCGAACCCAGTATCTTTCGCTTCAAACGCCATCGCGTTATCCACTCAACTACTGAGTCGTGATAGCCACTAGCTTGTGCAATGGGTGAAGTTAGAATTCACCTTGTATTGTTTGTTTGAATCTTCTTATTGATGTTTTTTAGAACTGCAACTGGTCAGTCTCTTATTGGCATATGTGCACACTTTTCCATAAGTTCCCTTTCCCTATTATTCCGGTTTACTATCACTTACGACTGAGTTGTGTACAGATTGTAATTTTCTATTCGTCTTACCGTGCGCTTAGGTATTTATGAGGCATATCTGCTTCATATCTTCGTCTTCTGACTGGACCATTGGATTAGCAGCTGGAAGACCAATAAGCTTTAAGGTCTTTCTTGTTGTTCATTAGCCACTGTCATTTGATAAGTAGGTCAACTCTCCTACAGGCAATATAGGCGAATGAATCAGTAATTGGACTAAACAATATAACCGGCCTTATAATACACTAGCTGATCACAATTCGATGTTAGAGCCTATGTTCCTTTTTGTTCTCATAACATTATTGTTATATATTAGCATGGGTTGTTCGTTATGCTGAATTATATGGGCGTCTTTTTTATTTATGGTTAATTAAATACATTGGCGCCAGTATTGTTTAATCTTTCTACTTTTAATTTCCTCCTTTATCAACATTGTACTTTTTTTCTATAGATTTTGGACGATCTAATGGTCTCTATTCTGATGGATTTCGTACTACACCTCCACCACCCGCTTATTCTAGTTTAAAGCATATGATTCAACCACCACCAGCTTATTCAGAAATTCAATCTACTACTGATTTATTAGCTAAACAATGTGTTAATACATCAACGTTAATAACTACTACTACTACTTCAAATATAGGAAATCCAGTAGAAATTGAACAATCACAACATGAATCAATGCATATAACATCATCACCTAATACTAATATTACTACTACTAATAGTACTACTACTGTCAACACGAATTCTCCGCCTTCTTATTCTGAAGTTGTTTTATCACGTTCCAATCATTCATATAACTATCAAATCAATCATAACACATCATCTTCAGACGCTAACGAATCAAACACAACATGTACATCAAATCTTGATACGTCGAGTACAATTACAAATTAATCAATAATACAAATCTTGTTCTCTCTTTTATTATTAGAATAAAACAAGCAGCAATTATTATTCGATGAAATTTTTTCACTTACTTTACTTACGCCTGTTACTCCCAATGGAGCATAGGTCGCCGACCAGCATTCTCCAACCCAATTCGATGAAATACACATATATATTTATATAAATATGAATGATCAGATTTCAATAGTTTCAATATATATATACGGTCCTTATATTGGATCCAATGTTTCAGTCTTCTTCTTCTCTGGAAGGTTCTTTTCTCTCTCTCTTTCCAATAACTTTGTCTTCTGATTCAACTTATTTTAATGAATGAATCTGTGATGCTTTTTATTGTATTTTATTTTCATTTTACAAATATTGTATATGACAGACAAGTACAGATATATATGTCAAATTGTAATACTATTATAATATTCTCTGCTTTCAACGTAATGCCTGTTTATTTTCGTTAACTTTGCTTTTTACATTCGTTCTTTATCTTCTTTGCTATTGAACGTGTACAAAAAAAATAAACTTAATATTATATTTATTCGAAATGTTGATTGGTTATTTTTTCATTTATTTGAAAAATCTGGAAGTATTGGACGGCCGTTTCGTCCTATTATGGGACTCCTCAGCAGTGCGCATCCTCGACCCCGCCTAACGGGATTCGAACATAACATAACACATTCAATAGACATTCTTATCCGTTGCACAAGTGAGTAACTATTTGGACTCGAGAGCCAATTGGATAACGCATTGGCGTTTGAAGTGAATGGTACTGAGTTCGATTCTTTAGATGAGCTTGAAATTTGGGATGCAAGTAAATCTAACTAACGAGTACCGAATTAGACGAAACACGCGTCCAATATTTTCACTGTTAGCCATATTCTGTATTAAATTGTTGTTATCAGTTTCAATAACTGAATATTTCACTAATTTAGGCCTAATATCTGTATTAGTTCTAAAAGTTTTATGATAATGATTGCTTAAAGTTAAAGTTTCGGATTTGGAGGTGTGGATATCAATCCTTTTAATTGACTAAGCATTTAAATGGAATGATTGAGAAAAGACTTCTTAAGTGTGAATATTTTGACTTAATTTTAAATTTAGAAAATTTCATCCAAATATCAATCATTAGTTCAGACAAACAAATATTTACTGTATATATGAATTGAAGAGTAAAACTTGAGGTTAAAATCTTTAGGAAGAGTTTTTAATCACAAAACTTGGGGTTGTTTGAAAATGCTCAATCTGGAGTTCCTTTTTTTCATTACGCCATGTCGTTATTGAGAGAACCATTGAAAATCAAAGGTGTACTGTATAGTTGCTTTTTGGAACGTTAGTTGCACATTATTTCAGTGTCCCAAATAAAAACGAATTACTGTTAGGGTGTTATGTCCCGATAAGAATTATGAGTGGTAAGTTTTGAGAACTATTTATCGACCAATATGGTACATATATTTTTATCGTATAATTGTTAACTAACTAAACTATTCATATTCGTGTCCTTCTTATCATAAGCTTTATTTTGACCTATGAACTATCATAATATGGTTTACCGTTCTTGGGTTAAACCCAGTCTATCATTTACTATCTCCCTTATTCACAGCCACATTCGGCTAAATCTTATACAAATTTTATTTTCTATTTTACGGTACGATGTGGTCTGTTTGATTTGGTATATAAACTCAGTATGTTTGAAATATAATGATTCATACCGCAGAGGCTGAGATTGGTGTTCTGGACTTAACTGACTGGGCTAGACAGCAGCAGGACCAATAAGTACTCTAGACTGCTCGTACGGGTTTCGTGTGTCGTTGGTCCGATCGATAAATCACTGCTCTCTAGTTTGCGATATTGTCACGTTCTACATTAATAGGGCATCCAGGCGGCACAAGTTATAACATAGGATGGGCCAGTCAGATATACCAGCTCAAAGCAAAATAATAGGTAACAGATTTTGATATGTGGGCTCTATTGGGTGAGATTAGATTCATCTATGTAAGAACCTTATCTATATTTATGAATGAGCTTATGTACATACTTCTTTTCGGTTAACCAATAAAACTTCCTAATTATATCTTATTTTCTCACTCAAATAAAGCGTCGCGCTTGCGCATAAATAGTATGGATGACATAATCGGATGACTACCCAATACAACGAAGTTATCCTATGATTGTTTGTTTCTACTGGCTCTTCCTCTGATCATAAAATTTAACTTCAAGACAATAATTATATCTTCAAAATAAATATATTAACTGAATTGTCATTTTACAAATTTTAGTATACAACAACCAAGTGGATAACGCGACGGCGTTCTAATTGAAAGGTACTGGGTTCGAGTACCTCGCAGAGTGAACATTAACTCTGAGATGCAGGTACATCCAGCTGATGAGTCCCAAATAGGACGAAACGCGTGTCAAACTGGATTCCTCTGTTAGCCACTATCCATCTTTGTTTATAATACTTATCTCGTGTTCATATACATTTTCATAAATAAATTGTACATTAAAAATAATAACCTTGTCTGAATATTTTCTTTAGATGTAATAAAACATATTTTTAGCAATTTTTAAAATGAAATCGATTTTATACTTTACTTATGTTTAGCAGAGATGGATAGTGGCTAGCAGTGGAATCCAGGACGCGCGTTTCGTCCTATTTGGGACTCGTCAGCTGGATGTACCTGCATCTCAGAGTTGATATTCACTCTGGGACTCGAACCCAGTACCCTCTCTTCAAACGCCATCGCGTTATCCACTCGGCCACTGAGTCCTGATAGCCACTTGCTTGTGCAATGAAGTGAAGTTTGAATTCACCTAGTATTGTTTGTTTGAATCTTCTTATTGATGTTTTTTAGGACTGCAACTGGTCAGTCTCTAATTGGCATATGTGCATACTGTGCGTATTGCCTCGAAGATTCAAACAAACAATACTAAGTTGAATTTAAACTTCACCTCATCGCACAAGCAAGTGGCTATCACGACTCAGTGGCCGAGTGGATAACGCGATGGCGTTTGAAGCGAGGGTACTGGGTTCGAGTCCCAGAGTGAATATCAACTCTGAGATGCAGGTACATCCAGCTGACGAGTCCCAAATAGGACGAAACGCGCGTCCTGGATTCCACTGCTAGCCACTATCCATCTCTGCTAACCATGCTTGTGAATTAAGGTATATCGAGGCAATACACACAGTATGCACATATGCCAATTAGAGACTGACCAGTTGCAGTCCTAACAAATCGATGGGAAGATTCAAACAAACAATACTAAGTTGAATTTACTTTTGTTTGTTTTAAAGGATTTCCAGTAAATCTTTGTTTCTAGGGTACTAATATTCATTTTTACAAACGTTTTTGTTAACTTTTTTTTAAGAAAAAGACGGTTGTCTCATTTTATTTATTATTAGCTTTATTCAATATTATATTTTTGGTATCATATAGAATTCTTAGTACAAAATATTTCAACAAGTTTTCGTTTTTTACTTCTTGATCGATCCTGACGACAAATATTGATTGATCGCCAGTTAGAAGTTAACAGTCCCGTCAATTGACATCTGAATAATGTACGTTCGTTTCGTTGCATATTGCCAGCAACCATGATATCTCTGATTAGGCCTTTTTTAGTTTATACAACGAAAGGTTATACACTTTACAGAAACGCACCTGGATAGGTTATGCGATTAATAGTCATAATAATGTGTTAAAAAAAACAAAGAGAGATAACTTGAAATATACCACCAAATACGGCCGAGAGTGGGGAGAGTCTGTTCTCCCTCTCCAAATGCTCTCATATGGCCACGCGAATATATAGCCTGTGCCACAGAAGTCTTACTCATTGCCTTCTCGTGGCAAAGGTGTTGTTCACAAGAGTGAGAGGACGAAAAGCAAATGTCCGACTCTTTAACCGGGTTGGTGAACACGGAAAATTCACCTAGGGGAGTTGGAAAACCCTGATTCCAATGGTGCACATGGGCTCCAGGATCCTGAAAAAACGAATGGCGTATGAACCAATCGTTGGTCACCGGCTACCATGTGACTGCATCTCCTCACGATGCTCCACTGTCTTGTGGACTAGACCTTTAGGTCAAAGGCTCCGGGTGTGTCTCTCTAAGAAAACCACGTGGTTCAGTTTGGGCACCTGGGAAGTATCACAGTCCTCACACAAATCAAATGAGATTTGTGTGGCGCATATGTATCTGGTGCTTCCTTGTACCAATATTTATGTGTTTAAATAAATAACTTGAAATATCTAGATGGCGGGAACAGGTAGCTTAGATGTTCAAGCAGGCCACCAATTCATATTTTTATAAAACTTTGTAGTCTTGAGCGGTTCAATAGTAACTAACATAGAGAAAGTTGTTATTTATGGAATTAGATTACTTAAAAGTAAGCTAGCAACTTACCAATGGCTAATTGAATTGAATTAATTGTTATTGACACAAGATCTAAAAGTCCTGATGTATAATATTTTGCGAATTGTTATCTGTACAACATTGAAGAAACATGAGTTCGAACAAAACAGTTATCCGATACTAATTAGGATTTTGATAATTTAACAATAGATTTCAGTTTGTTGTGAGCAATACTTACAAATATATTTCTTTTGTTTGACGTATTGTAGTGTATGCTACTGATGTCGACAGATATAAGTAGTAGGCATCATCACTCGAAAATGAAATGTCTGGAGACAGAGCGTTAAGAAGATCAACGAAAAGAGAATGAGAACAAATGATGATTGTTGTAGAAACAAAAGAACAATGAAATATGAGACGACTGACTGATATTTGCAAAAGGAACAGATAAGTTCGAGACAATTGGTTGACATTTTTAAAATTAAGTATTTACTGTATGGTTTTCAGGTTTCCCTAAGATGTTCTGTAATGTTGTGTTCAAATGTATTCGATTGTCCCCACTTGTATTCTCATTCACTACAGTATGATATATTGGTTTACAAATAAATTCTGATTACTTATTCACTGATTATCATCATTTAAAACGATTAAT